GCTCCAGATGTGAACCTACCTGTTCACTGGCTTGGGATACAGGACACATGAGCTGGTGTATGATGTTCTTAAATCTCTGAATTACACTGACAACTATGCCCCGTGAAGAAGTCTCCCATTTGGGACCTGGCTGTATAAGTGTGTCCCTGGGTGGCGTAAATGGTTAAGTGCCAGACTACCAACCGAAACATTAGCAGTTCAGACCCCCCCAAGAGGTGCCGTGGAAGTAAGGTCTGGTGATCTGCTTCCAAAAGGTCTCAGCCTTGAAAACCCAGTGGAGCTCAGTTCTACTCTGCACACATGGGGTCACCGTGAGTCAGAATGGACTCGACAACTGACAACAACAACTCGTAAGCTTCCCATTTCCAGGGTGGGGTTGGAAGAACCCTCACACTCCCAGAAGGCGGAGCCCTGGACCTCTAAGCACCTCAGTGTGCCCAAGAGGGGCCGTACCATCTCACACTCTGGCAGGCTGCAGTTCTGTGTTACTTCCGTCAGGCTGTCTCGAACTTGGGGATGGACAGCCAGGATCCTGGAGAGGTTCTGCAGCCGGCTCCTGAAGTGCTGATAGGCAAGGTGCACCCACGGCAGGGACACCCCTTCCTCTGGCCTTCCCGACACCGCTTTCAGCTGGCCGATGCAGGACCACAGAGCCATTCGTAAAAACTGCGTTAACGAAAAGCTCTCAGTGCATGCTTTTACATTAAAAATGACATTTTCCCTGTGTTTGCTTACACAAGCCTCACACTGGCCCCCACAGGCACTATTTACCTTTAATTCATCCCCGGTGGACACACTCATGGTCAAGAGGAGGAAGTCCTTCAAGTACCAGTGAATTAGTCTTTGCTGCTGCTCTCCGCTGAGGCCAGCGAGAAACCTGCCCAGAGGAGTCTGCTGAAAGATTTCCACTAGCTTCTCTGACAGTCCTGCAGACAGGAAAGCAAAGAATGGCTCGGAAAAAGAATCTAGATCACAGCTCTTTCCTTACATCACAAGGCCTCAGCTTCTCTTGGCCAGGGAGCAGTGACTCTGAGTGTTACCAGTGGATAAGGTTCTCTTGAACGGTAGCTCCCAGACAAAGGGGAGAGAGCTGCCTGATTTTATGCAGAATGAAAGGGATGATCATTTTCTAGGTACTGTAGACATTTTTTTAGTGGACAACAGAAACAGGCAAAATCAGTGTTAGATTTAAGCCATGAACAACCTAGGGAGCCCCCAAAAGATAAAGTGTCTGAAATAGACCAAGTGTTTGTTGTACGTTTATTACGTCATAACCTGCTTCAGGAACCAAGTATCCAAGTGAATGAGGAATGAGCAGGGCTAGGTTGTATGATGCCCAAACTGGAAACATCTGCCTCATAGGGGTGAGGTGCTACCCCAAGTCACATGCTGTTATAGAAAAGCAAGGTCAGTTAGGGTGTAGCCCTGAAAAAGAGAACCACTCTCACCAGGTGGGAAACTGCTTCAGTTTTGTTCAGAAAGAGTGGCAGAGTTCTCACCTAGAAAAGTAAGTTCATCTTTGAGTATTTTGACCTGTATTATTTTTAAGGCAGTACTCTGTATGTATGAAGGATGACTTTTCCAAAAAATGCTGTGTTATCATTGGGTTTCCTCAAATGACTACGGCCAGACTCCTTGGCATCTGACAGCAGGATGAAGTGCCATGTCTGGGCTGCGTGAGTCAGGAGGAACGCGGACAGCTCCGTTTGGAGGAAGAAGATGCTCTAGTGTAGTTGTAGCAGGTGCTGAGAAAGGTTCCACTGGGGACACCTCCTGAGTCCTGCCACCCCGGCCATCCAGAGCCTCAGATTGGGAATGATCAACTTATAACAGGGTAACAGGTTCTCTTCCTGCCAGACATGCCCCATTTCACCGCATCCCTGGCCACCACATGGCTAAAACACATCTCACAGGACCCCTTGGTATACGACTTCAAGGCTTCTGATGCCTCCTGGAGACTTTCATTCCTTCAGCAGAAATGTCAAAACTAAGGAATTCCATATATTCCAGGCTATTCCCCCAGGAAAACGTCAAAACCACAAACTCCAAAATTACCCTCACAATATAGCAGTCACTTGTTTGTGCTGGTTTATACAATCTCTCGGTAAGTAAAAGACTGATCTGCCTGTCTGTCTCGCGGCAGCCTCGCCTTCAGCGTCTGTGGTGTACTGAGCGTACTGAGCCCTCACGGTGGCCTCACCTGCAGCATCTGTGGCGTACTGAGCCCTCACGGTGGCCTCACCTGCAGCATCTGTGGTGCACTCAGCCCTCACGGTGGCCTCACCTTCAGCGTCTGGTGTACTCAGCCCTCACAGTGGCCTCACCTTCAGCGTCTGTGGTGCACTGAGCCCTCACGGTGGCCTCACCTTCAGCGTTTGTGGTGTATGGAGCCCTCACGGTGGCCTCACCTTCAACATCTGTGATGTACTGAGCCTGGACCCAAAGCTCCTCCAGGTAGTCCTTGATTCTCCAGCTAAATGGGACGTCATTCTCTGAAAGCTTCATGTCGTTCTGCACCACAATGCAGGACATCTTGCTCTTAGATCTATGCAAGCCAAGGGAGGACAAAGCATAGGGTCAGTG